CGGGGCAGGCGGCTCCGGCGCGCGGCAGGTGGAACGCGGGCCCCGATGGCCGGATCTGTGCCTCGGGGACATCTGAACCTGACCTCAGAGGAGATGGCCAGGCCAGCCCAGGGAGCCATTCTCCAGTGTGGGTGGGTCTGCCTCCCTCCAGCCCCTCTTGCCGGAGCCACCGGGCTCTACTGCCACCTAGTGGGTGGAGGCCAAGGGTGCTGCTAGCGTATAAGGCATGGGGGTGGGGGTAACAGGGGCAGAGTCCCTGGCCCCAAAGGGCGAGGCTGAAATGGGCCACGTTTATGTGGGAGGGGGATGCTTTGGAGTCACCCAACCAAGCTACAGGTGACTGCACCATTCAGAGCTAGATGCCTGGCACAGCTGATTTCATAAGATAAGCAGTGGGTGCTACTTTGAAAGCACTCCCTGGATTCCAAGTCTAGATTGACCATGGCCCTTATACAACTGACAGCAAAACTGCTTAGTTCTGAGTCCTAGCTTTTTGAGCATCCTTTGCTTTTCTGCTTCCCACCTACCCTGAAAACATTTCCACACATGCTTAGAAACCCAGGAGGGCATTCCTGCCTTCGGAAGTGCTCTGAACACTGAAGCCTTGTGGAACTCAGCGGGCCTCCAGGCTGTGTCTGGTGACCGTGCAAACACGCCTGTATACGCCCTGGACCTGCATTACCTCAGAAACGAGGAAGAATCTGAGGGCAGGAGGTTTTGGAGGGAGAGCGTCTAAGCAAAACGCTGCCCCGGCTGATTCCAGATCACGGTACAATATTTGAGATAAAAAGAATGCAAAGCAATACAACATCACCTCTTCACCGCCCCGTCCCCTGGATTCTGCCCACGCACTGCTTGCTGTCACCTTCCTCCTTCATACAGTCCCGTCCCAATGGACGAGCAAGCGAGTCCCAAGAGGCAGTCACTGCGGCAGCAGTCAAAGCACTTCCTCGTGTACACTCTAAAGGCTGTTGTGTCTGTCGGTCTCCCCCCACCCCCTAAGGACAGGAAATGAGCCATCTTTCATTTGCCTCTCCACACAGCAGCCTTGGGACTGAGGAAGCCAGCGCCGCGAACACGTCTAGGCAGATGAAAGAGACAGAGATGCACGAGGCAGGAGGAAAAGCGAGCCTCAGAGTGTGAGGCTCTGAGAGCTGGCGAGGGATCTGACACTCGTTTGTCTTAAGGATAAAGAGATCAGACAGGGCCCGACAAGGCTGGCGGAAGACCCGCAGGCATCCAAGACGAGAGGAGGAAAGAGGAGCAGGCTACTGCCAAGGGAGAAGAGCGCCAGGCAGGTAAAAACCCGGTGTGTGCCAAGATGGGGCTGTGCGGACGATCCCTCAGGGGGGATCCCTAAGACAGTGAACAGGATAGATCGCTCGAGTGTGGGAAACGGGAAACAGCGCGCGTGTCAGGTCTGGGTCAGAGCCGTGTGCCTGGGTCGTGGGAGGAGAAAGACGGGCAGAGGAAGGGGCTGGCAAGCAGGGGGCCAGGACTAGGGGGAAAGAGGCTCTTGGGCCACAGGAAGAACCCAGGGTGCAGAGCCAGAAGGGCAAGGGGAGCGCCCCGGACCTCGGACCTCGGACATCCAATTCTCGAATTGGGTATGAAACCCTGCAACCCCGCAGTGGCCCGTGGAAAGACTGGATCAGAGGGATTTTTAGTCATCATTGCATCCTTGCTCGTGACCACACCACAAGCGCAGTGATAACTCATCCCTTGACGTCCTCTGTGTGTCCCCAGTGTGGCCTCTGGTTATGTCCTCTGTTAGATTCACACGAAATACACCCTCTCCTTGAGCGCTCGGTGGGTCCCTCTTTACCCAGCCTGCTCAGAAAATCGAGACCATAGCGAGCTCATCTGTGCGTGTGCAGGGCCGATGCCCACTTTGAGGTCTGTGGAGGCTGCCTACCCCTCTGCATCGGCAGCACGCAGCCTGCGTCAACCAGCAGCCCGCAGCTCTGTGCATAAAGTTTTAACACAGCGAAAACAAGCCCGATGTACTCTTGGAACTCTGAGGAAGTTCACGGCCGTGTGCCGGGCTCACACTACGAGCCGGGCCTTGGCTGCCCGGCAGCCAGGACCCCAGCTCAGGCTCAGGTCCACGTACCTCGTTGATGCTGATCTCAGCCTCCACATACTGCAGCCCCTTCTGCAGAATGGAAATGAGGGCAGCTGGTGGCACTAGGGTCCCATTGATGTTGGACTGGCTGATGTGGCTCTCGATCCCGAACGTGAAGGCCGAGTGGGAGAAACCTGCCAGGTGAAGAAAGCCAAGGTGGGTAAGGCTCAAGTGGCAGAGGCGTTGCCACCGGGATGGTCTGGTAGCACCGTGGGTTTCAAATGTGCTTACTTAACAGACAGAGCATGGCCTGTCCTACCATGAGGCAAATCACACTGTTCTACCCCATGATGCCACCATTCTGCTCTGCTCACAGCAAGTCCAAAGGCAGTGGGGCCAACTGACCGTGGACTGAAACCCTGGAAACCATGAGTCCAAAATAAACCTTTTTCATTATAAGCTGATTACCTCAGGTACCTTGTTACAGTAACAGAAAACTGACTAACAGAGACAGGCGTTTTGAGGACATGATGAGATGCAAGGACAGAGAACACCCCCCCCACACACACACAATGCTAAGAGAGCACTGTAGAGCTGATTCTTTCTTCAAGTGATCACATGGCTCTGGCCTCCACCCACCCAAGCCTGGGCAAAGATCCCCATTCAGCATTTGCAGTAATGTTTCTCCTGGATTCCCATCACTTCTGCACCATCCTGAAGTTGAAAAATCTCAAGTTGAAGCCGTCTATGTCGGGGCTACCCAAATTCGGACCAGAGTCTGGCCCGAATGCCGTGGTTGAACATTTGTCACAGGAACTTGACTGTAGGTGGCCGCAGACCCCAGTTCAAGTCACAGCTCGCACAAGCTTGGTGGTAAAGCCTCTGTCCACTGCTGTTGATGACACACACACACACACACACACGCACACACACACACACACACACACACACACACACACTATTCTTCAGGTAACAGTGCCTGGTGTGGAGCACTCCCAGTTGTCTGGGGACGAATGCATTGTACTCTAACCCCCAAAAGACACACCGCGGCTCTGGGCTCAGTGTGACACCGAGTCAGTCACTTTCTTGAAAAATCAGTAACTTCCTCTTTTCTGTTTTTATTTTTCCCCCAGCTTGGGGGAAGGACCCTGGGGCTGCACATGTACGAACAAATGCTAGGCAAGGGCTCTGCCACCAGGCTACATCCCTGGCCCTTTGTTGATTTTCTCCCCTTCTCCCCAGTGCACTGTAAGCTGCTGAGAGATGAAATGCTTACACGTTCACAGGCATTCCCAGATAGGCTCTGGATGACGGCGGCGCTCGAGAGATGTTTGACAACACCTTGGCGTTGGGGGCAATGGCTGGCTCAGGAAAAGAGGGCAACAGGACACAGAAAGAGGCAGTGGGAGCCGGTGCGAGCGGGGAGCCGAGGGGACCGGGAACGTTCAAGGGCCCTTTGGCGGGGACAGACAGGTGGCACCGGAAGTCCAACTAGGTGACCAGGACCCGGGGTGCAAGAGGCCAAGGCGTCCCACCGAGCGGCCTTAAATCCTCACACTCCCCCGTCTCCCCTGATGGGGAGCGGACCTCTGAAGCCTGTGCCCAGAATTCTGGGTTCGGACCATGCGCTCTCTGATTACAGCTACACCTCCAGGCTGCAGGCTCTGACCCTCGTTATCTCCGGAGCACAGAGCCTCCAGCCTTGCTGGGCACCTGCTTGCCAAAAGAGGCAGCGAATGGCTTGGGCTTTCTCAGATTCCACACCCTGGATCCTCCCGCTCCTCGTCACCGCCCCTCTACAGCCGCTGCAATAACAGAAATGCCCACCAGGGGGCAATGTTCCTCCACGAAGGAGCTGCTGCCTTTCTATTCTCCGTCCTCCACTGTCCCTCTTCCCTCTTCTCCACTCCTCCTCCAGGGCCCACCCACCGTGCCTCCCCCACCGCCTGGTTAGAATGAACAAATCAAATATGCAGCTGCAAATGTGCACTTACCTAATAAAGCAACATGGCAGCTGCTATTCATTTTATCACCAGTCGCACAGAGCCCCGTGTGCTTCCTGACAGAACTGTACCCTACCCCAAAGGCTCACCTCGCCTGCCCCAGACTGGAGCGGTTGGGCGGACGGAGTCCCAGGGCAAGATCGAGCCCCGGCCAGCAGCTCGGTGCCACATGATGTCCTACTCTGGCTCAGGATTCCGCCAAGAGGCCACCCCAGAATGTGGCCCCTGGACCGTGGCCTCCCAGAACTGTCAGCCCAAAGAAACCTCCTGTCTGGATGAAGCGGCTCCCCTCGGGTGTTTTATTAGAGTGACTCAAAACAGACTCACATACTGGGGGACGAAGGAAGGACCCTTCACGGGGGACTTTAACTTTTCCTTTCACCCTGCGTTTTCTCTCCATAGCCACCACCATTACCCTGACCACCGATACCGCTGGCTGCCTAACTTTCTTATCTCTGTACTCGGTTATGCTTTTGAGGCAGACACCATTTCTAGAACATGTTGGTAAAGGCCTACGGCCAAGGCCTGGGGACAGACTTCGGCTGCGGGGCAGTCCCACGGACGCAGGTAGGGTGTGACCCTGTGACATTTCTACAGAGAGCCGCAGCAGCTTGTGAGGACGCGTTTCTCCCTGGCCAAGGAAATGGTGGAAAGCAAGATGGGGCTGTATGGGGCGCCACGATCTCCTTCGCCTTGGGGTGGCTGGGGTTCATCCACAGGACACAACCAGAAAAGCAGCCCCTTTATGAAGACACGTTGTATGCGTGTCCCGCCCGTGTCACCCCTGAGAGACAAGACTCCTCTCCCCAGCCTCGATGCGGCCCCTCCTGGGCCGGACCTCTGCATGGGCTCTAGACGGTGGCCCTTTCACCCCATTGGCTTCCTGGTTCTGGCAATGCGATTTTGCCAAGGCGTGCGACTTAGTCCGGCCTCTGCTTCACTCTTCAGTGGGGGCTAAGACGCGGCCCAGGAAGCGCAGGAAACAGATGTGAGAATAGCCAAGCCCCACGTTCACTGACTTACTCTTTTAAAGATCTGTGTGTGCAGGTGACACTTGGTCCATCCCTCACTTCCCCTCCCCTGCGCATTCCCCGATTTTATTTGTCTAGTTGCTTACTTAGTTTTTGGTACCGGATCGAACTCGGGACCTTACACCTATGAGGCAGGCACAGCACCACTGAGCTAGATCCCAGCTGAATTTTACATTTTTGTGAGTATGTGTGTGTGTGTGTGTAAATTAATTTTATTGGCACATTTTAGTTATACAATATAATGACATTCATCACTAGAGATTTGTACCTTCACATGACACATCTTGATTCATATTTTCCCCATTCCCCTGCCTTCCTTTCTACCCCGCCACCCCTCTCTATTTACAAAGATTTTGTTTCCATTTTTTCATTCTCTCAAGTTAATTCCATTCCGTTCTTTCCTTTCTCCTACCTCTCCCACTTCCCCTTTGTACCTTTTCTATTTCATGTTATCATTTTCATCCTTATTTACACTTTCAGTTTCTCACACCGGAGAAACTATCCTGTATTTATGTATTTAATGTCCTTCTATTTCACTTAAAAGTATCGCCTCACTGTGCTTCCATTTAACTGCAAATGTCTCTAATTTCTCATTCTTTATGGCTGAGTAGTATTCCATTTTATTTTTGAAAAACCCCACATTTTCTTTATCCGGTCTCCAGTTGATGGACAATGGGGCTGTTTCCAAGTTTTAGCTATTAGAAACTGTGCCACTATGAACATGGGTGCACACATATAGCTGCTCCTCAGACAAAGGTCTACTATCTAGAATATATAAAGAACTTTAAAAAGTCAGACCTCCCAGATTTAAGGATCCAATCCAAAAATGGGCATCCGAAATGAATCAACAGGTTTCGGACAAAGAAGTAAAAGCAGCAAGTAAACATATGAAAAAATGTTCCACGTCACTGGTCATTTGAGAGATGCAGGTGAAAACAACACTGAGATTCCACCTCACCCCACAAAGAATGGCTGCTCTCAAGAAATCACACAATAACAAATGTTGGCGGGGTTGTGGGGAGAAAGGAACCCTCCTCCATTGTGGGTGGGAGTGCAGACTGGTGCAACCACTGTGGAAATCAGTATGGAGACACCTCAAAGAGCTGGGACGGGAGGTTCCATTTGACCCAGCCGTCCCTCTGCTGGGTATCTTTCCAAGAGAATTACATGTAATCTTTATAATAAACGACAAAGGAAGTGGCCTTCTCCTCCATTCCCCCCCGCATTTTCAGCTCTTTAGCAATTCAAGCAAGACTGCCCGAGGTATACAAACTCTCACGCTATATTCAGGACTGTGTTAAATGTAGACAATGACGAAATAACTTTGAACTTTGCTTCTTGGTGAAGCCACATCCATTTCTTTTTTAAGTGAATTTAACTTTCAGTGCGGTTCCAACTCATGCTTTTAGTAATACATAGCAATTTCCAAAATGTCAAAGTAATTTCAGTTGATTCTTTGATGGCAGTGCTTATAAATTTTATTTATTAGTGTGCTGAAGTTGAGAAATGAGCTTGGGCTTTGATTATGAAATGCAGCATCTTTCTCTGAATGTCTTGGCTGAAATTTTTCTCTTCTTTTTTTCATTCTTTTCTTTGCTGTCTTCCATCTTTCTGGCTTGAATTTCCCTCATTAAATAAAAAAGTACCTTGCCCCCTGCAGCTAGCTTCTTAGCAGATGTTTCCACATAGTTCACATTCCATTGGTTGGCTAGGTTATTTCTGCCTCTGCTACCAAGGCTTGCCTTTCATCTTCTAAATCTGACTTGTTACCAACCAGGAGAAATGGAGTATTTTCATCTTCCTTTACTCTTGAAATCTGCTAAGTGAAGTCAGCGGTGAGTACAGAGGACTCCATTTCTGTAACAGAGAAGTCTCACGGGGAAGTAGTGGTCGCTGCGGTGTTAAGTGCACCTGCCCGGCTGTACCCAATACGCTGCCCTGCGCCCCCTCCTTGTCCAGCACGACCTTCTTCCTGTAGCCCTCTGCTGTGGCATCTTCCTCCACCAACTCATCGTACGTGACCTGCAGGGCTGATCTGCCCACACAGCGAGCGCTTTGTTTAGGGCCCATGTGCGGCCACCCTGTCTCACAGATTTTGCACCCGAGGCCTAAGGAGAATCTGTGAGGGTTGCCGGTCAGAAGCCCTGCCCAGGAGCTCCG